ATGGCGCAGTCACTGGCGTTAGTACATCCGGTTTCTTGCACTGCGCCGTTAGGTTTCATTCCATCCTGATTCGTTTATGCGCACCTTTTTCTTGCTTTCATTTTCTTTACATTCTATTTGCATTCAACCCCACTGCCTTGCTATTGTTATTGATTGTTATTCTGGTGATGTGTCGTGGCAGCTAGATCCAGGGCAATTCGGTGCTCGAATACCAGTTATTCGACTGAACTAAACTGACACGCCAACTACGTAATGCATACATACTTAAAAAGCACCATTTAGGTTTACTCTTTTGTCTTGGAGTACCTGCCGTGTGTCTGGATTACGACTCGCGACCGTTTGCCTTGAAGCAAATCCTTGCCATTTCGATCACTGGGACCGCATCCGAAGTGGCGAGTTTCGGAGCTGCTTTCTCCAAATACCGCACTCCACCACCGACCGGTTTCCTCCTGATTTGGACTCGTTAGGAATAGATAAAGTGATTTGAAAGGGGAATCGCACACCGTGGATGACGCTTCCCTGTTGCTGAAAGTTAACTGCCAACTTTAACCATGGCGGTGAGATAGCACGAAAGAGGACAGAAGTGATGAGGTGCACTAGTTAGACGGATTAGTGTGGATGTGTCAGTTAATCACCCGCCCCCCCTGCTCGTCCATGCTTTCATGGGTCCTCCATCTGATTGAGAATGGGAGATGGTGCATTCATAGGTGGACGCACCGAGGAGTGGGCTCATCTGTTCAACTCACCGATGCACTCGTGCCTTCATAAGAATGGGCAGAATCGGATCTGCGACAACTGTTACCTACAGGAGTCTGAAGTAATTGATTCTCCTTTCACCAATTTGTGCAGCATAGTAGGAGAACGAAAGCTGATAGCTGCATTCATTTCGTATTGAGTCCTAAGTACTATTAGTAATAACCGATATGCATTGCTATAGCTAACAGTGGGTGCAACCAAACGAGCTTGAGGTGCAGGACAGAAGACGGAAGTTCACACCTACGTCCAAGACAAATTTAGGCTGACAAATAATTGTTTCTGAACACACATACTGGCTTCATCTGGCTTATAGCGCCGGTCATGACAAACCGAAGGAAGCGGGGATTAGCTTGACGCAATACCTCTTTGAATCTTGAGCTAACATCTAGCCGATGATCCGGTACTAATACACCTTTGCCAGATTGTTTATGCCAACTTTTGTAAATCCGCTCTTAATCTCATGAGGCGCAGCCGGGCTACTCATCTAGAAATTGCGCTGGTAACTTGCCAGGAGGAAGAACCAATTGCTCGTGATCCCAGTAAATACATGGTGAAATTATCGAATGTATAAGTTGACACACTGCAGTTAGAAGCTTTGTCATTTGGACCTGACTACGAACTCCCTCTTAGTAAGTTTAACGGTTCGAGAACTTTTTCCACCCTTTTAAGAAGCTTCAACCAACCAGTCCAGATAGGCTTACCTGGTTCAGAAACAAGTTAACTAATATTGCCGACGGTGTTAAACGGCACCAATTAGGTAACCATTTGCCCTCACAGACCTCACGGGAACTACGTGTTATGGAGGTAGTCTTAACGAAACCCAATAAAGGCTCTGGAATAGTAACTCCGAACAACGCCGAATATACTGAGAAAATGTGCCTTATCTTCAACGATCTGAGTACATTTGAAGGGCTCAAGAAAGTGGTGGGGGACAGCCGAAGACGAAACCCACATAGCTTGTCATTCCGAAATGCTTCTCCTGCATCGTGTGATAGACAGTGAGTGTCACTTTGAATAGTTCTATGAGGCACCAACAACACACACACAAGAGCAGGGAGTGTCACTCAGGCCGATTCTCTTACTGGTGAACGCACCTCAGCACAAACTGGCCCGTTGATTCGCGAAGGCGCCTTCTCTGCTGAAACAATGGGTCAATTCATACACTATAAAATGATATCGGCAATACGCCGGTACCCATTGCTAACACTTCGCTGCCGCACAACCAGCAACAATCGTGCATGGGCTAATGATTCTACTAGGGTCTCCCCGTCCTCTACACTGGCTCGAACCCGCGCCATCAGATCAGTGGGCAGCCTTGTGACCCTTTAGGCCACGAACCGTCTGTGTTAAGGGTTCATTCCAACGGATTGCGGACTAGAGTGAAACCAACCTGTCTGACAATCTTGTGCGTTCTTTGTATGTGGAGTTCTTGTCCACCAGCGTCCCGCTACATCAGACCGTTGATTATGTATGTGAATGAGTGAACATTCTGGCTGTTCATTACCAATTCCGGTCGGATTGTTGAAAGTATTCCTGTTATTGTGCATGGAGAACATCCGCGTTCATTTTCAGGACGCCGTACCACCAAATCGAATGTGTGACAATGGGCAGTCCACTAGGCCCTGTACTCCCTGGTTTCTTTATGATAATGATAGAAAACGTTTCGACAGAAGTATCCCAATTACCCTGTTACAAACGCTATGTGGATGATATTTTGGCATTTTGTTCATCGGAGCAGCAACGCAGGCAGTTGATAGGGCACCTTAATAGGACACATGCCAATCTTCGGGTCACCTGCGAAGTAGAGCTGGAAATTTGTCTGACATATCTGGACATCCTCGTCAGTCGTAGAGAGAATGGACCTATTAAGCGGTCTGTTTACCGAAAGGCAACTTGATCCGGCCCCTACTTACACTATAGTATTTTCACGCCCGTGCGGTGCAGGCGGATACTCGTAAAGACCTTATTTAATCGTACCAGACGAATCTGCTCGGTCGACTGCTTAGCTCATGAGCATACTTTATTTACAATAACACACAATTAACATTAACAGAACGGCTATCCTCGACAATTTATCGAGAATCAGTCAGCTGAGAGGGCCGAGGGACTTAGTGCACATGGCATCCAATAAGAAGGTTTATATCGCGTTACCTTTCAAACATGGTTTCAACACGCTAATGACAACTAACCGCATCATCTTGGCTACGCAGGTAAGTTACTACGCTACGCAAGTCGTGATCAATCGAACCCGAAGTTTACCCATCCCTCCAACGAAAGAAGCTCAGTCTATCGGGGCCAGCTCTCATAATGTGCATATCAACTCATATGTTACTGCGGACCAGTTACATAGACAGAACTGATAGCACTGACTTCCCGAATGAATGAATATGTGCCGAAATGGGTTTAGTGTGAAGTTACCCAGTACACCTACCCCCTCAACATCTGTGCTCGCCTAGGCCGCCGGTCTCCTTGATAGGCGAGCACCTACTGGTATCGGGTCATCGGATAGAGCTCAGCTCAGCGTTCCAAGTGGTGTTGCGTCACGCTACTCCCGCTTCCTTCGTTTTGTCGAGACCGTCGCTATAAGCTATATGAAGCCAGTCTTGTGACTTCAAAAACAATTATTCGCCAGCCTAAGGCTACCCTGGACGTAGTGGATGAGCTTCGGTCATTCACTCTGCACCTCAACCTTATCTGGTCGCAGCTATAGGAGTGACTGAAATCTGCTAGCAGGACATGGCAGAGAGCCGATCTCCATGGCGTTTGGGTTGTGGGATTCCTCGCTCCTCTCCATCCCACTTAACCTCTCCCTCCAACCACGACACATAATGCAAAAGGAAGTACAACATTTTTATGTTTCGTTTTGTTTTTATTGTTTCTTTTTCATACCTCTTTCACAACCATCTGACTCGATTGTATCACGACACAATTGACGGGGTTTTTCTCACTGACTAATGTTTAGACTGATGAGCATACTCTACGGTCCGTTTCTCCTTAGCAATATGTCCTTCACTGGTACACAACAACTGCGATTAATCGCAACAAGTGGCCTAGGATGCGGGGGAAGAGTGTTTTCAAATATAGTAAAACCTCAACGGACTGAACCAATGTGGTCAACATACTGAGATCTCGTGACGCACTTCCGAGTCAACTTTGCAATCCCAACGTGCAGGGCGTTGTTACAGGACTCGTTGTGTACCACCGCACAATCACTAAAAGTGGTCTGTCGGTCAAATTATTTAGCTGGCTGTATCACCCCTGATGCTTGCATCGCCAAGCACGTTAACACCTGGCGCTGTTAAAATTCCTGTGACATTGTGGCGGGCGGTGGGATATGAGTCTAGGGGTTAGGCGAACAGGTTATGACGCTACGATGCCATCTTGGTAACTGCATGCACTAGAGTTCTGGTCATTGCTGTGCTAGGGATATTAGAAGACCAGCGATGCCTACGAAGTGTTGTTCATATCTGGTGAAGTGTCGAATCAGGGATACGAAAGACCACCATTTAGTGCTTGATCCTCAGCTACCTCGGATCGTCTTTACTGCCTCAGTTATCTTCCTGCATAGGCCAAATCCCGAGTTGGCAATAGGGCTTAAGGAAACTCATCGGAAAGTTGAGTGAACTTGATGCTTGTCGTCCTCGCGGATCCGGTCCTCGAACTGGACCACATTAAATGTTAGATCCCCTGTGGTATGTGGCGTGAACAGGCTTGAATTCGTCCACTTATGTTTCACTCATTCCAGCTGGCGATATCACTTTGGACTGCTATTACTATTGGACTATTATTACTGCCGTTACGATTAGTATTTTGATGATGTGAGCCAAGGTAAGTGGAGTGTAATTGGTCCGCCAAACTAAACTGATTCTTCATGCCCCCACTTCTCATGGTGCATGGCTGTACGATTTGCGGAGTCGTTTCCGCGCGGTACCTAGAGTAGATCGCTCCTAAGGCTTCTCTTTATCTGTGTGGACAAATTATTAACTCGGAACCTCGTTGGTTTACAACAGGGCATGCATAGTTTCTATTTAGATTCATCTTGGGGTAATGTAGAACGTTACTCTTGCTAAGCGTCACAGTCTCCGATTAAGATGATCTACTCTGCTGATGTTCGAACTATTTGATCCCACACGTTTCTAGCGCTTAATTCATCTTTTTTACTACGTTAGTTTTAATTACCGTGTTAACATCTACGTTTGCTACTTTTATAACCCGGTGGTTTTACTTTATGTTTCTTTACTCAGAACATTTTCAATCATTCGCTTCACCGAGTCACATTCAACGGAAGGTTCCATCAGCCACGCACCTCATCTTCGTCTGATGATCTCACTCCGCGTCAAGCCACTGACACCTACGGGCCATGAGACCACCAACTCTCCCGACGATCTCGACACTTTAGTCGATGTAGTTAACGAGCCCGTAGAAAAATCAGGAGACCAAGATTCCGAATCGTGCATTACCTCTGGCGTTCTGCGGCTCAGTTTGGAGGAGAATGTGCTCATCGATGTACTCCGTCTTCCGGATCACTTTGTCTTTCCCGCCGTTGTAGCCGCTAACATACTCCGATACGACCCGATCGGCTGGATTCCGATCACCAACACCGCTTTTCGTGAGGATGCTTAAATGCTGCGCCAACTATACCTTTCCATCAGCGCCTGGTGTGAGCGACGCGCGCGTTCTTCCTCTCCCAGTCTTTCATTCCGTCAAGATGGATTACCAAGCGCCGTTCGCGTTGAATGTGTCTGCGTGTGTGCGCGCGCTTGCTCCATCTGTGATTCCTCATTCGCACGCGTACGCAGCACCAGCCTGACCACGGCCTTAGGAGCACATGTTTCCGCATGCTCTGTTGTCGTGCGCCACGACGCATTTAGCATCACATCTTTGAGCACTATCGATCTGCAATTGAATCTTGCTATCCACGCTTTGTAAACAAACTATATGTATCACTTCCATTTCCACGTTCCACAGCGTATTTATACTTTTTTTGACTTTGTACACTTTCACTTCTCAGATGTAACCAGAATAGTCTGTAGCCTCAGTGCGCGCACACTGTCCTGTTGTTCGCTTCAGTCACATTGTCTTTCCGCTTTTCCATCCGGAAGCCGTTTTTTCCCACCATCACCTTTGTTCCAGTGCTCGACGCATCTCTTCACTTCTCCTGCTTATCATCAGTCTTTTTTCTCTCCCTAAAACAGAGAGTTTTACCCTCCGTTTTCTCTGCGCCCTGTGTTCTACTTTCAACTTTCTCCTCCTTCGTGGAGGTTTTTATTTTCTCGACCCGATAGTGTGTTACTTTCTGGTCACTGACACGGCTGTTGTGGTACACATATGATCACTAAAAAGCCGTATTAGTAAATGCTTCCGTCTTGTGCCATACCTCCCATTCGCACCACGGACGAATGTCATCTCGTTCGATGTAGTATCAGGTTAGTCTCACGTTGATCCTAGCCAGTTTACCAATATTCCGAAAATACTTCCGAATGTGAAACCGACAATTCTCTTGGTCACGTTGTCGTGCGCGCCGCACTAGCAGATGGTCACGGTAGAACCGGAATCTTCACGAATTACTTGCTTCCACACGCATTGAGGTACTAAGGTGCCAAGTGGCACTGGGCAGCTTAGCACTGGCTGTCACCCGTTTCGGCTATGCTTTGCACCCTCCGATTCCAAAGCTTTCCTTCAAGATTGACAGGGACCGCCTCCTGCGCTGACCCCTTTTTGGGGGTCAGCTAGAAGCCGTTCAAACGTTCAACTATCTAGGTAGTTGTATCAGCGCCGTTGGAATTGAAGACGAGATCACAAACCATACAGCAGAAGCTCGAGGTGCTTTTGCTAACATTCGCCACCTATGGCGCGGTGCGACATCTCTCTCCCTAAAGGTTAGAGTATCTAATGCAGCCGTAGATTCGACCCTACCGTACGGTCGTGAAACCTGGCCCATTAAATCAGCAGACATAAAGAGGCTAGTTGCGTTCGACCACTGGGACCTTCGCAGTTTGGCTCCTATCTGGTGGGGACACCGTGTGAGCAATGAGCGTATTCGATCACTTGTTTATGGCACAGGAAGAAGAAACGAACCGATCAGCACCGTTATACTACATGCACCGGGCGTCGATGGCTCGACTACGTTTTACGCATGCCAATCCACTGACTTCCTCGACTTGCATTGTTTGCGCGCCGGGGGTGCTTATGGAAGGAGAGGTGGCCAAGCGATGACTTGGTCAAGAGAATGAAGACCCTTACTTGGAGGTTGGCCTCTGTTGGAGCCTCTCGGCCCCCTGGTTTGGAACCGAAGGACGATGAACGCGTTTGGTTGGATACACTTGTTGCTATGGCTAGGGGTAGACCTCAATGGCGTTTGTCTTGTGAGTTTCTTCGTCAATCCTCCTCCTCCCGCCTAACCTCCCCCTCCAACCATCATCTCAATTGGTTGGCGGCATCCGGTTTCGGATTTGCCTGTCACTGTGGCCAGCCACAGGACGCCTGCGCCTACAGGGGATCATGGATGGCTTGCGCTGCACCACTCACAGCTCCATCCACACACCCCATATCCAGTGTAAACCCGAAGAAATAAGACCGGGAGGCATGTGGATGGGAGCCACGTTTCACCAACGGAGCCGGCCCACTCCTACACAGGGAAACACAAGCACGCTGTATTTGGGGAATCAAGCGCACACAAGGCGGTGGCTGGACCGTAGTCCGCTCCACACTGAGTGCATGGAACCACTCTTTGAGCCTAGCACGGCCACAAGGACCGTGCACCCCGTCCCCTCCAGCAACGACCAACTGTCTCCTGGAGCCAGTATGAACGAAGTACTGGGTAATAGACAGGTAGGCACCTTGTCAACATGCACATCAAGCGCAGCCACACCGGGGATACCAAGCAACAGCCAATCACTTGAAATGACAAAATGAAATAAAACAAATCCAATAATGCATACACATACGATGGCATAACTCTTCGTTAAATTAGCATATGAAGTAAGTTGGTTAGCAATGAATCCGCGATGAGGAAACTATGTCCACAAGTTACTCAAAAATGCTACAAACGCAACAAAATTACCGAAGATAAGCGCAATTAGCGTAAACAACGTGGCCAGCCAATAGAAGACTATCCAGATAGGGAAAACAAATCAAATAATCTGGAATGAAATTTATGCAGCTTAAAGAGACCTAGTTTAAGTGTAATTTGGTTTAGCCCCACTGCGGTGAAGAAGCATCAAGAATGCAACATCAGCCTCAGCATGGGGCACATCATCATCTCAATTAATACTCATACTAAAACTCTTGTGGCACACTAGCCGGCTGTTAGCTCTCCGGAATGATGTCCATCCGTTACTGGGGACTCAGCCGGCGTGCCTCTATTTCACTTTCTTCTTTTGTATTGCGACACCATAGTTGAAGTGTTTTCCACCTACAGCTAGTGTGTAGATTGATGATGATGATGATGATGATACTAAGTAGAAAGGTTCACCATCACTTCTGCCACTGCAGATCTGCGCAATTCGATCATTTTGTGGCGGACTCCTCTCCCACGGTAGATTTGGCGGTAGGCCTTACTTAGATGCTTGGCTATCTCAGTGTTACACGTTTTATACAGTCCACGGCTCAGGCACGCTGGATAATGCTTCGGACGCGTTCAGCTAAATGTCTCGTGATGCATTCTATGTAATTTGTCCAACAGAAAGAAGTGAATTTTATTAGAGCCGGTTAGGGACAACTTGTCCTTCAATTGTAGCGGTAGCCAAGTGAATCCGCAGTTTCACGTCGAAATACAACCTTTTGCTGATTTCATTCCCCATTAATCTTCTGCTGCTAATGCTACTATCTTCATCTGTGTTAATCGGTCCTGTGATCAGCCTGCATGCTTTTGCTAGCAATTGGCTCCGCCGTTAAAGAACAATTCATTTATTCTCGGGTGTTTCTGTTCAGTTGTATCTCGAAATCATGCTTTATCCTTCTTCGTATGAACTTGTACTTATGTCGCTTGGCGGTGTGGTCGTTTGGCTTGTCGTCCACAGGTCGCTGAGTTGAGCCTGCTTGGATGTGAATCATATCTCAAGATCCCTAGCCCGCGCGCCACCAGTCAGAACCGCATCACTGCGAAGTGTCCACGCGGTGTACTGCTGATGCATCTTTTCTGTTGTACCGACTAACAACAAAGCACCATACATTAGAGGTGCAATGGGTTCATTCGGCATGACTCGTTTCGCCAGAATGACATCTAACAGTCAAATGACAGCAGAGCAATAAGTTTTCGGATACACAGTACACCAATTGGGTGCAGTTGACCCGGCAAGAAAATGTGAACTGTAATCCATTCTGAACATTGTTCGGTGATTTCAACTCACAGAACTTGTGTCAGCAACCCAGCACAGACCACAAGTTATAAGGCTCACTATACTCTGACTGTAAGTATAGAATTCAGTCGATGTCATTGGAGGACAATGATTTTCCATGACTAAAAATGTGGTTTTAAGCAGTACGAGAGTGATGATCGATTGCGCGCTGCGTTTGGTGATGATGCG